TAAAGATTTTATATTCTTCTCAGCAGTACATGGAACCTTCTCTAGGATTGACCACATACTAGGCCATAAAGCAAGTCTCAGCAAATTCAAAAGAATTAGAATCATACCATGCAGCTTCTCAGACCATAAAGGAATGAAGTTGGAAATCGGCAACTCAGGAATCCCTAGAGCATATGCAAACACATGGAGATTGAACAACATGCTCCTGAATGAACAATGGGTCATAGAAGAAATCAAAAGAGAAATCAAAAACTTTCTGGAAGTAAATGAGGATAACAGCACAACATACCAAAACTTATGGGATACAGCAAAAGCAGTGTTAAGAGGAAAGTTTATATCAATAGGTGCCTACATCAAGATATTGGAAAGGCACCCAATAGATGAGCTTTCAATTCACCTCAAGGATCTAGAAAACCTACAGCAAACCAGACCCAAATCTAGTAGGAGAAGAGAAATAATTAAAATCAGAGAAGAAATCAACAGGATTGAATAAAAAAAACATTCCAAAAAATCAGCCAAATGAGGAGCTGGTTTTTTGAAAAAATAAACAAAATTGACACCCCATTGGCCCAACTAACTAAAAAAAGAAGAGTAAGACCCAAATCAATAAAAATCAGAAATGAAAAAGGAAATGTAACAACAGACACCACAGAAATAAAAAGAATCATCAGAAATTACTACAAGGACTTGTATGCCAGCAAACAGGGAAATCTATCAGAAATGGATAGATTCCTCGACACATGCAACCTACCTAAATTGAACCAGGAAGACATAAAAAACCTAAACAGACCCACAACTGAGACAGAAATTGAAACAGTAATAAAGGCCCTCCCAACAAAGAAAAGCCCAGGACCAGATGGATTCACTGCTGAATTCTACCAGACATTTAAAGAAGAACTAACTCCAATTCTTCTCAAACTATTCAGAACAATCGAAGAAGAGGGAGTCCTCCCAAATTGTTTCTATGAAGCCAGCATCACCTTAATTCCTAAGCTGGAAAAAGATGCAGCATTGAAAGAGAATTACAGACCAATATCCCTGATGAACATAGATGCAAAAATCCTCAATAAAATTCTGGCCAATAGAATGCAACGACACATCAGAAAGATCATCCACCCAGACCAAGTGGGAATTATCCCTGGTATGCAGGGATAGTTCAATGTTTCCAAAACAATCAATGTGATACACCACATTAACAGACTGCAGAAGAAAAACCATATGATTATCTCAATAGATGCCGAGAAAGCATTTGATAAAATACAACACCCTTTCATGATGAAACTCTAAGCCAACTGGGTATGGAAGGAACATTCCTCAATACAATCAAAGCAATTTATGAAAAACCCAAGGCCAACATCCTATTGAATGGGGAAAAGTTGGAAGCATTCCCACTGAGATCTGGTACCAGACAGGGATGCCCACTCTCACCACTGCTATTCAATATAGTTCTGGAAGTTCTAGCCATAGCTATTAGGCAAGAAAAAGAAATTAAAGGGATACTAATTGGGAAGGAAGAACTCAAACTATCCCTCTTTGCAGATGACATGATTCTTTATTTAGGGGACCCAAAGAACTCTACTAAGAGACCATTGGAACTCAGAAGAGTTTAGCAAAGTAGCAGGATATAAAATCAGTGTACAAATCAACAGCCTTTGTATACACAAGCAATGCCACGGCTGAGGAAGAATTTCTAAGATCAATCCCATTCACAATAGCTAAAAAAACAATCAAATACCTTGGAATAAACTTAACCAAGGACATTAAAGATCTCTACGATGAAAATCACAAAACCTTAAAGGAAGAAATAGAAAAGGATACCAAGAAATGGAAAAATCTTCCATGCTCATGGATTGGAAGAATCAATATCATCAAAATGTCCATTCTCCCAAAAGCAATTTATACATTCAATGCAATACCAATGAAGATACTGAAGACCTTCTCAGATCTGGAAAAAAAAGATGCTGAAATTCATATGGAGACACAGTAGACCTCGAATAGCTAAAGCAATCTTGTACAACAAAAACAAAGCCAGAGGCATCACAATACCAGATTTCAGGACATACTACAGGGCATTTGTCATCAAAACAGCATGGTACAGAGAAACAGATGGATAGACCAATGGAACAGAATAGAAACACCAGAAATCAATCCAAACATCTACAGCCAACTCATATTTGATCAAGGATCTAAAACCAATGTCTGGAGTCAGGACAGTCTATTCAATAAATGGTGTTGGGAAAATTGGATTTCCACGTGCAGAAGCATGAAGCAAGACCCCTACCTTTCACCTTACTCAAAAATTCACTCAACATGGATTAAAGATTAAATCTATGACCTGACACCATCGAATTATTAGAGAGCATTGGAGAAACCCTGCAAGATACAGGTACTGGCAACGACTTCTTGGAAAAGACCCCAGAAGCACAGGCAGTCAAAGCAAAATGTAACATTTGGGATTGCATCAAATTGAGAAGTTTCTGTACTTCAAAAGATACAGTCAGGAAAGTGAAGAGGCAACCAACAGAATGGGAAAATATATTTGCAAACTATGCAACTGATAAAGGGTTGATAACCAGAATCTACAAAGAAATCAAGAAACTCCACAACATCAAAACAAACAACCCACTTAAGAGATGGGCCAAGGACTTCAATAGACATTTTTCAAAAGAGGAAATCCAAATGGCCAACAGACACATGAAAAAATGTTCAGGATCACTAGCAATCAGGGAAATGCAAATCAAAACCACAATGAGGTTTCACCTCACCCCAGTTAGAATGGCTCACATACAGAAATCTACTAACAATAGATGCGAAAGAGGATATGGGGGAAAAGGGACACTAACCCACTGTTGGTGGGAATGCAAACTGGTTAAGCTACTATGGAAGTCAGTCTGGAGATTCCTCAGAAACCTGAATATAACCCTACCATACAACCCAGCCATCCCATTCCTTGGAATTTACCCAAAGGAAATTAAATTGGCAAACAAAAAAGCAGTCTGCACATTAATGTTTATTACAGCTCAATTCACAATAGCTAAGACCTGGAACCAACCTAAATGCCCATCAACAGTAGACTGGATAAAGAATTTATGGGATATGTACTCTATAGAATAATATACAGCAGTCAAAAACAACAAAACCCAGTCATTTGCAACAAGATGGAAGAATCTGGAAAACATTATGCTGAGTGAAGTAAGCCAGTCCCAAAGGGACAAATATCATATGTTCTCCCTGATTGGTGACAACTAACTGAGCACCAAAAAGGAAACCTGTTAAAGTGAAATGAACACTATGAGAATCGGTGACTTGATCAGCTCTTGCCCTGACTGTTGACAAACAACTTAATACGTTATCCCTCTTAGCATTTTTTAGTTTGTTCTACTTAATACTTTTGGTTGAATACTATAATCAATACACAGTTATTCTCAAGTGTTGAAACTTAACTGAAAAGTGATCACTGTTAAATATAAGAGTGGGAATAAAAGAGGGAAGCGATGTGCAATTTGGGACATGCTCAAGCTGACTTGCCCCAAATGGTAGAGTTAGAAACATACCAAGTGATTCCAATTCAATCCCATAGAGGTGGCATGTACCAATGCCATCTCACTAGTCCCAGTGATCAACTTCTGTTCACAATTGATCATAATGATAGGACTAAGAGTCAAAGGGATCACATAAACAAGACTTGTGTCTGCAAATACTAATCGATAGAATAAAAAAGGGAGAGAATGATCCAACATGGGAAGTGAGATGCACAGCAGACCCATAGAATGGCAGATGTCCTAAACAGCACTCTGGCCTCAGAATCAGCCCTTAAGGCATGCAGATCTGGCTGAAAAGCCCATGAGAGTATTTCAGGCATGGAAAGCTAAGACACTCTGGCAAAAAAAAAAAAAAAAAAAAAAAATGACCTAAATGAAAGGTCTCCGCAAGTGAGATCCCAGTGGAAAGAACAGGTCATCAAAGAAGGAGGTACCTTTCTCTGAAGGGAGGAGAGAACTTCCACTTTGACTATGACCTTGTCAAAATAAGATCAGAATTGGTGAAACCAAAAGGCTTCCATAGCCTTGGCAGCTCATGACAAGAGCCTAGGGTGATTACTGATGCCATAAACAAGAGTGTCAATTTGTTAAGTCAACAACAGGAGTCACTGTGCACTTACCCCTCATGTAGGATCCCTGTCCTTAATGTGCTGTACATTGTGATTTAATGCTATAACCAGTACTCAAACAGTATTTTTCACTTTGTGTTTCTATGTGGGTACAAACTGTTGAAATCTTTCCTGAATATATGCTAAACTGATCTTCTGTATATAAAGAGAATTGAAAATGAATCTTGATATGAATGGAAGGGGAGCGGGAGCAGGAAAGGGGAGGGTTGTGGGTGGGAGGGAAGTTATGGGGGGGGGCAAAAAAAAAAAGAAAAATGAAGCCAAGGAAGAGCTGCTTCTCCTGAACCCCAGCCAGCTGCCACCCTAGTCCCCATCTACTTCTTTGTTATGAGAAGACATTGTCAGCCCCTCTGCTACTGCTCTCTGCACTGAAGGAAAATCTGGCGAACACATAGGGATGGATTTCTTTTACCCTCATCCCCATCATTCATCTATTAATTGTACACTTAATTAGCAGGGAATTTTGCCAAATGTTGCATATCTCGATAGCAAAAGATATAATTCCAAGTTTTAAATGTTTTTAGTTTTGAGAGGGGCAACAGTAGGAATTAATATTTTTCTTTAAAAATTTTTATTAATCCTGCAAGAACTATATTTTTTTCATTAAAAAAACTATACTGACTAATTACACTTCAAGCTTAACACAAAAGGAAATGATAGCTTAAATATATTTGAAATTTAAAATCATGCCTACATTGATCAAAAATTCATGTCCATTGCTCTGGTGATTGGGAACAGACTACTTGCTTCATTAATTAAATGGTCTTATATTTTTACTTCTTCAGATAGGCTGTTTATCAGTAACACATTATTATTATGCAATTCTTACCTGCCGGTCAGAAGTCCAAGTGCTTCTAAGGGATGAGAAAACTTCCACCTTCGCAAAATGGCATGCATTTCTGCAATCGTGCTTTCATCCCATCCAGGGGCACTACCCAGGACCAAAGGGAGGGAGCAGTTGTTGTTATTGCAGTAGAAGCGATAATACCATAAGTATCTCCTCTTTTCCTCAGAAAGCCTAAAAACAAGATTGTAAAGTGTAATTTTACTGGAGTTTTTTCCACCAACATACATTGCTGTAAATACATGGCATAAAACCTTACTCTAGTTCTTCGAATTTTGTTTGAGTTTATTTTAGACAGCAAGTCCTTCATCTTCTTGGGACAGTTTGGTAGGTTATTTCATGAGCTTCTTTCACACTAAGTTTATACTTTTTTAAACCAATCTTTAATTCAAATAGTCACACTTATTTTTCTTCCATCTTATCCTTGCTTGCCACTTTTTTTCTAAATGTCATTTTGGTTGGTAAATTCTGTTTCCTTTAGGGGAGACCAAATTTATCTGAATCCTGAAACATGTTGTATCTAGAACAGAGACAATCAACCATTTACTCTCTTTCTTTACAAATTAACTGTAAGAAATGGGTCTGTAAGAAATGGCGTATTTTAAAAATGATATTCCTTGATCTCAAAGCAAGTTACATCAGAGTTTAGAAAATGCTTTGCTGTTATCTTCAAAAACAAAGATCTAAATTCATCTGGATTCTGGCTTTCAGTATTCAGAGTTCACTGGAAGTTTGACGAGACAATGTCAGTGATGTCAGGTTCTTAAATTCTCAAGTATTTCACCCCGGAGAGTGGCCTGAACAGAAGATCTCAGTTCAGGACTGGAGCCCTTGACTTGCTGACAGTCTGCCCTATTTGGCTCTGCCTGCAGGAGTGTTCAGAGGCACAGTTCAAGGGCAGGCCAGCACCTCCACATGACCATGATAGCTGGTGCACTGCCTCCTCCAAAAAGCTACCCTCTGTGGTTCAGCCTGAATCACTGCAAGTCACAAGGAGGAGGTTGACAAATTAAAAGATTTTAAAGGTTGGTGCTGCTTTGCAATTATTTTTTGGAATCATCTTCACCTGTAAAATAGAAAGATCAGATTATGGGTGGTCTTTATGGTATGCTTAGGTTCTATTCCTATGTTCTGCCACCACCTTTACCTATAGAATTCCACGATAAAATTACTAAAAATTTATTCCGATAAAATTTTCCCCAATACTGAGCAATGCTGTGGTTCCTTTGAGCTTGTTTTCATTAAGGCATGGTTTCTATAATAGGAAATACGCAGATACATTTCAATTAAATTTGATAAATATACATACCAGGTAATAATCATCTTGCTATCAAGAAAAAAATGTTTTCATGCAACTGGAGGCAAGCACTGATAGGATTTCTTTCACATTAGATTACTGTGACTTCTTTTAGGACTTTGTTAAATGAATCAGAGGGGCAAGTATCATTGCACAGCAGGTTATGCCACTGCATATGATGCTTGCATACCATATAGGAGTGGCTGCTCCATATGCAATCAGCTAACAGTTAATGTACCTGGGAAGCAGCAGACAATGGCTCAAGTACTTGAGCTCTTGTCATCTATGAGGAGGACTGGTGTGGTGCTCTTGGCTCCTTGCTTCAGCTTGGTCCAGCTGCAACAGTTGTGGCCAATTTGGGAGTGAATTTGCGAATGGGAGATCAACTGATCTCTGCTTCTCTAATTCTGCCTTTCAAATAAATAGAATAAATCTTAAAAACAAAGAAATGAATCATATTGATAAGTGTAGTTCATTCCTTTTTATTAATATCATTTTTTCCATGAATATACATACCATAATTTGCTCATCCATCCTCCTTTTTTTTAAATAAAAGATTTATTTAGATCTATTTCTTTACTTGAGAGGCAGAATTATAGATGGAGAAAGGGGAGAGAAAAAGAGGGAGGTGTTCCATCTGCTGGTTCACTCCCCAAATGGCCGCAGTGGCCCGAGCTGGGCTTATCTGAAGTCAGGAACCAGGAGCTTCTTCCGTCTCCAATACAGATACAGGGGCCCAAGCACTTGAGCCAATTTTACTTCTTTCCCAGGCCATAGCAGAGAGCTAGATTGGAAATGGAGCAGCTGGGATTCAAACTGGTGCCGTATGGGATGCTGGCACCACAGGCAGAACCTTAAACTACCATGCCGTAGCGCTGGCCCCAGTCCTCCTTTTAATGGACACTTGAGTTGTTTCCTTTTGGGGGATATAATGAACAAAGGTGCTGTGAAGTTTGTGTGAAATTTTTGTTTTGATGCATTTTTCATTTCTCCCAGGAAATACTTAGAAAGGGAACAAGTGCATTGTATTTCATGTACTTGGCTGCCTTTAAAAATTGTTTTCATTGATACACATTAATTGCACATATTTATTGGGCACAATATAGTATTTTGATTCATGCATACATTGCAAAATTATTAAATCAGGGTAATTAGCATATCCATTCACCTTTAATTTTTATCATTTCTTTAAGGATGAGTATATTCAAAATCTTCTCTTCCAGCTATTTTGAGGTAAACATTCATCCTAATATGCCACAGAAAAGAAGAACTTACTCCTCTTATCTAACTGTAACATTGTAGTCATTTGTTTAGCTTTGGAAGAAACAGTGTTTTCTGAAGTAGTTAGAACATTTTACATGATTTCCTGCAGGATATGATCATTACAACTGCATTACATTCTTGGCAACTCTTCACTTTGCCAATGTTTTTACTATTTTCCATTCTAATGAGTGCAGAGTAGCAATTCATCGTGGTTCTAATTTATACATAATTAATGTCTAGAAACTTTTTCATATGCTATTTTCTTTCCTTCTTACTATTTTCATATGCAATTTATTACTTTTTGAAGTGATATACTGTGTGTATTCATTTGTGCAATTACTCTTTTTAAATACTTATTTACTCGAATGGCAGAGTTACAGAGACTTGCCTACAGACAGATACAGGCAGATATCTTCCACACGCTGATTTACTCCTGAAAGGGCTACAATAGCCAGGACTGGGCCAGGCCAAAGCCAGGAGCCCAGAACTCTATCTGAGTCACCCTTGTGGGTGGCAGGGGCCCAAGTGTTATATCTCAGAAACTGCTGTGTAGTAAGTATGGTGTGATGTAAATACTGGAGACAGAGACAGCAGCTGTAAAGATTAAACATCAACCCTCTTGAGATTGGAACCTGTCTGCTTCAGGACAACCAGGGGCATCACAAACACTACCACTCATCCCCTGGCTCAGACTGCCATTTTTTTTTCTGATGCAGAAGCCAGGAGGAAATAAAATGCTCTTAGTGAGATATTCTCCCACTCCCAATGTCTATTGCTGAGTACAATGGTGTTGCCTTCTTGAATAATAATGCCGTTTTCTTAACACTATGATAGATGTCCAGATGTGCATCTTCATCCACGATATAGGTGCTGCCTTTTCCTGGTCATAATGAGGAACAGTCCCTTAGTTTTCTGGGTGGGAATCTGTTTTATCCTAGAACTAAGAGCTCACTGGTTTGTTAAGAGCTTTTACTGTATATTAAACCACTGACAGAAAGGATGGATTCCTCCAAGGACTCCTTTACTGGCCTCAACACTGTCAGATGTTCAGAAGGAGAAGAAAAAAAGCATGCATTTAAAGCAAAACTGTAATATTACCTGGCTAATTTTAACTTAGCTTTTATCATAATTTGTTCCCCCATTAATAGGAGAAATATAAACATAGGAAGTTTAAATGATGAAATTGGTGCTTGAAATTTGTTTAGTTGTAATTTTTGTAAAATTATACTGAAGGGTAAGATATTTAACAAATTGCAAATTTTTTTACAGAAGTGTGAATAACAGTCACACTAATTTTTTTATAAATTGCATTCTTAACAGACTTGCTATGTAATCATTTCCTTCTGTTGGAGTTCTTGTAAGCCTTGGCAAGTGGCATGTGACTATCTTCTGCTATCTTGAGCCATGCACTTGGTACATGTTGCAAGGTTTTTTTTTTTTTTTTAATGTTTTGTCAGACTACTAGGTTTAAGTACTTGTTTCCTACTTTAAAAAATTATTGACAAATATGCATTTCCTATATCTTGTTTATATGGGTTACAGAATGTTTTATTTCATTTTTAAACTCATTGCATTATTTTGATAACTTTGTTTTTTGGTTGGATCATGTTTAGAAACTTTGTATGAATTCAGATGTCTTAAGTACACATGTGTTTATATTATTGTGCCATTCCAAAATACCAAATATTCTTAATTACTGTAACCATATAGGACACAAATACAGCTACACAAATCATGAAATCAGACTTTCAAACCTCTTAAACTTGTTCTTAGTTTCACAATTTGACTACTTTTACTTACAGGTTACTTTTTCAAAAAAATCAAATTCATAGAATTGGACTATCTTATGTTTTGCCTTAACCTCTCCTTTCTGGTGTGATTAACACACATATATTATGTTTCCTGATACTGTCCCACAGTCCACAAGGCACTTCCAGGATTTTCCTTTGTGTCCCTCAGCATGGGCCATCCTTGTTGCCCTGCCTTCAACTCACTGTTCTTTTCCCCTGAATTTGCAATCTCTAAAGCACATTATGGGGTTGTTTCAAAAAAGTAAAACCTTTTACAATTCTTAAGTTTCCAATTCTTTAGCAAGGCTCTTCCTTTATTCATTGATATCTAATTTGTTTTTACTTTCAGAGAGGCAGAAAGGGAAAGGAGAAGAAAGGGAAAGAGGGAAGGAAGAGAAATGGAGTGCGGGAGTATATGGGGGAGGGATGGGGAGAGGGGTGGGGGAGGAAGAGAGACACAGAGAGAATTCTCCATTTGCTAGTCCACTTTCCAAATATATGCAACAGCTGGGACTCATCTAATCTAAAGCAGAAACTCAAAATAAGTTTCCCATGTGGGTGGCAGAGACCAAGTACTTGAGTTATCACCCTTGCTTTCCAGTGTGTACCTTAGCAAGATATATTTAAGTAGCTATATAATGGTTGTATTGAAATACTTATCTACTAACTTGAATCTCTTTAGATATCCCTTTGTATCAGTTGTTTGCCCTGTTTTCCTGATTATCCCTAAGTATTATCCTAATTACTGATTTTATGTTAGATGTTTTTTATTTTTTCAAATTATTGATTGCATGCTAGACATTTAGAACTCTCCATTGTTGAGAGTCAGTCTGCTTTTCTATTTTTGGGTGTTGAATGATTCAATTTTTAGCAAGTAGTCAAATTACTGGCAAATTACCTTGATCCTTTTGAGACTTGTTTTCATGATTTGTTAGATTGGGCCTCCAAGTACTAAAACCAGGGTTATAATGGACCAACTCCTAAATTGCATCTCTTTGGTTTCTTTATTGAATGCCTGGGCTATTTTGTGAGCTTTCTCCATTTCTATTGGTCAGAATTTCCCTGTCTCCCAGTGTTATGCAACTTTTTAAGACTACATTTATTTCACGTCTCCACACAGTGGTTCCCTGCAAGTCCTTAAAATTTTCAACCTACTCACAAGCAGCTTACTACTCAAATGAACATTTAAGGGAGCTGCAGTAGCAAACTACTCAACTGAACATTTACGGGAACTCCAACCCAGATTTCTAGAGCTCTTGTCTTGCTCATCTTCCTTCTCCCCAGACTTATTCACTGAAAATTCAGGCTGCCCTCGCCTTATTTGAACTATGATCTCTGCTTTATCATTTCAGAATCTTAGCAAGACCACCTACACTTTGATCCAATCTCCAGGAGCCATGGAATACTGTCTACAGGCCGAACGCCACTTTAATCGTGAGACTTAGCTCAAGTCCTACCTGTTCAATCCTAAAACAGTTGGTGTGTATGTATTTTTCTCCTGTCATCATTCTTTGAGTGAGGGCAATTAGTCTGGTACTAGCTCTTCATGCTGGAAGTGGAAGTATTAATTTCTTTCAAAGCGAATATTTTTATTTCTTTCATTCTGGAGTTTCCCTCCTATTTGAAAGCACTCTTTGGTTGATATCAAAATTTTTGATTTTTATAAATATCACAAGGTACATTTTAACTGAATGTCATTGAGTCTGAACTTCCTGAATCTGATTACATTTGATCAATTTGAAAAGAGGAATAATTAAAACACCAATTACATGGTAAATGTGGTATTTGGAAGCTGAGACTAATTTGAGACCAACACAAGTTTTGTAACACTGAGGGCTGTTCCCCATCTGCTTGTACCATTCAGAATGAAACTGTACTGTACTGAACATTAATAATTGTGCAGGAGTAGATGAAACAGCTTATTATTTTACATATGTGTTTACTTAAATAGAAAGTGAAGATTAAAACAAGTAGACTTTACTAGGGTTAATTTAAAAACACAAATCTCTAATATTTAAAGGCAATTACTGTGATTATTTGTGTTTTTTTGAAAATATTTAAAATTTCAAAGCATTACATCTTTTTAATATTTAAAAATCTCTCATTACAAATACATTAGTGTGTTACCTGTGAAACATCTGTTCCATGTAAGGATTTTTATTTTTTAGTAAGAAGTAGAAAAGGATGCCTCACTTAGGGTGACAGTCATCCAGGATGACAATGGGCAGTGTATGGGGACTGTGAGACTTCCCTCAGCTTAGTTCTGCAGGTTCATTTTCATACCAGATTTTATACAAGGATGCTGTAGTTTTTAAACATTTTATAGATACTATTTTAAAAAAAAAACTATTTATCTTTATTTGAAAGGAAATTAGAGGAACAGATGAATAAACAGAGAAAAATGCTCTATCCACGGGTTTGTTCCTCAAATGCTTGTGCCAGTTAGGGCTGGGCAAATCTAGCTGAAGCTAGGAGCCACTCTGACTCAGTCTGGATCTCTTACATAAGCACAGGTACCTAAATACTTGAGTCATCACCTGCTGCCTCTTAGGGTCTGAGTTAGCAGGAAGCTAGAATTGGAAATGGAGCTGGAATTCAAACCCAAGCATCTGATATGAAATGCACATATCCCAAGTGGCATCTTCAGCAGTAGGCCAAAGGTCCATAGCCACCCACATTATTTATCAGTCACATATCCGTGCACAGCGTTGGGAATACAATGATAATCAAGTGGATTAGGCTTCTTGCACTACCAATTCTTAACAATTAATGAGGGAGACTAGAAATAAATACACAAGTGAATAGGATGGCAGTAGCATGTGTTCAGTGTGACAGCACACAAGTAAATATGACAGCATGGTGACAGAAAAACTGGTGGTCAAATAAGACCTCTTTAAGGAGTTGACATTTCATTGAAAATCTAAAGAATGTAATGAGTTATTCATGGAAACACTAAGAATTTCAGGCAGAGAAAATGTCAGATAAAAAGCCTTTGAGATGAGAGAGGGTCTAACATAGTTGAACTTATTGAAGGCTGATGTCGCTGGCTTGACAAGAATGAGGGAAAGCAGAAAGTCAGTTCAAATTAGACAACAGGGAAAGGACAAGATTACTGAGAGGACATTGATCATGCTCAGTGCCCCAGTATGATTCTCAACAGAGGCCTTGCTGACCAGCTCAAAACCTTGGATTCTCTGTTGACTTCACCTTGATTCCTTTGTTTGTCAACTGAATTAATCCTTGGTTCCATTTTATCACTAATTCATGTCTCCTCAAGTTCTAAAATACATATGCCAATTCTTGCCATTTCAACTAATATCTATTTCATCACCTTAATTCTAGGCAGTATGACCTCTTGCCTTAGGTATTAACCACCTTACAGTACCACTTGTTTCCACTGTTACCTCCTCTCTAATCCATTCTTGAACTTGTTGCCACATGGATCACTCAGAGATTCTTCAGATCACCTAACTCTCCTGAACAGAACCTCCAAATATCTCACATTTTTTGCTAAGATGCCTTATTGTGTTTCATATCTTAACATAGTATGTATGTATTAATATATAAAATATGTAATAACATAGTATATAAAACTACTTTCTCAGTTTTAGCATATTATTAATGAACACAGCTGTGACTTATACACTGTCAAGTAGCAAGCAAAAATGTCACCTCACTTCTCCTGGTATTTTAGTTTTATTTAGAGAATTACTTCTTGACAAAATCTAAGTACTGCTTAGTCACTATTTTAGCACTACTAACATATGATTTCATTGCTGTTCTTTTCTTAGTTCGCCATGACAATTAAATTTTACTTTTTCTGTTAATTAGAACAACTTCCTACCCACCTGAGGGTGACTGAGCAATGGCTGTCACTGTTCTGTGCTGGCATCTCTCTCACAACATTCTGCTTTGTTGTTTTGAATAGAATCATTTGCACCATTTTTACTTAAAGTTTAAAATCATCACAGGAAAAATCATCTTTCAAAGCATAACAATAACTTGGTCACCTCCTAGACATTAATACGCCACTCAGCAGGCATGGCTTTATGGAATTAAAGGAACTTTGTGGGAAGGAAAGTTCACTCTCCAATGACAGGAGTGCTTCAAGTATGATTGATAACGTCACAGACAGCAGGCCAAAGGCATTCCCAGATCCCAGACACTTACAGTACAGGAGACTGTCTCTGTGAGAGTCTGCTTATATGTTTCAAACATTCTTTCGGTGGTTCTTCAGGAGCACTTCCATTCTCTTCAGAATCAGGTTTCATGTACTCCCATCCAGTAGGTGGAAAATCAATCTGAAATAAAGGAATGATTTGTCCTGTATTGATGGTATCTCTGCATTTTCCAATTACTGGTCTGCTTTATAGAGGTATAGAGAGTAAAGAACAACTGTTTTCTGTGCTATTACTTTAAAATAAGTTTTAAATGAATCATTAGAATTTGAACTTAGTGTTTAAAAATGTATGCATTTGAATGATTTATTTGGCCAATAATTTCGACAAATTTTATAGATTGGCAACTACGATTGCTGTATGAGAGAGAAATGGGAGTAGTAACAATATATAAACTTTGCATTAAAGCTAAATGTATTTTGCTTAATGCTATGATTATATCCTTTGTACATTTCAGTGTTAAAATATTATGAAATTGATGAAAGTTGAGAGTAGCAATTATTTTTCCATGAATTCATGCTTCCTTTATAACTGTCTCAATGTGCTTTTAATTAAACCAAGACTCAACGTTAATCTGATGCTAGTAAATAAAACAGTTTTAAAAAGACAGTTCCAAACTACGTCCATGAATGGATATTTCAGTGTTCTGTGTATTTTCTTAGGGTTATCACACATGGCTTATCTTTTATTTTAAAACTAGAAAAGTTTACATAGTTTAGTTTTCTCTGATAAATGATATTATGTTTGACTCAAAGAAACTTGGGTAACATTATAGACCATGTGAGTTACAGTTTGAAATGTAGCTAAAATATTTGAAAACATTTTTGAAATTTCATGCTATAATCTCTACAATTTGTTGCAATTCTTATTTTTATATAATTGTTTTATCAATTGATACTCCAACATGATAAAAGAGAAAAGTAATAGATATGCTAAGCCAAAACAATGTTGTGGGGAGCAACTCGGACTAGACTAAGTTACTGGAATTAAGACTTATTCTATGCATCTGCTCTCCCACAATATGGCGCTGGGAGAGAAGAAAACAGCTTCTACACAGCTGCCTCCAGTTCAGCCAATAAACTGTAGGACTTGCTCCTGATTGGAGGAGAGCAGCGTACTCGGCGTGTGGGCAGCCGAGTTGGGATTGGCGGAGGAGGACTATAAAGGAGGAGAGAGACGGCATGCACCAGGAACATCTAAGGGGAACATCTAAGGGGAACACCTGTGCAGCCCCCGAGAGAGCCGGCCGGCGGTGTGCCGCTCCCCTGCGGAAGTGGGGAAAGTGGCCAGGGGGAACCGCCCTTCCACGGAGGTGGAAGGGACAGTAGCCAACCCAGGAAGAACCAGCAGCAAACCTGGGGAGGGCCGAGCAGACGAAAGAACAGCACAGGGTCCTGTGTCGTTCCTCCACGAAGAGGGGGAGCGACATAATGGTGCCGTGACTCGGATATGAAGCCTAGGCAGGGTTTAGTGTCGTTCCTCCACGAAGAGGGGGAGCGACAAATGTTGCAGCAAATTTTTCCTCTTGACGATTAATCTCAAAAGATTAACTCAGTGCCTTACATGGAGGTACATTCAGTACTAGCAGTTCACATGTTATTCTTTATGTGTCCTACTGCTTTTTAAGTGCTTGGAATCAAAATAATAGAAATAGCATCTAACAGATTAGTCAAATTTTATGTTGGTCCTAAGGAAATCACAGAAGATGAGGAAAGCTAAAGATGATGGATTAGAATTCCAAAGTACTCATATGCACAAATCTGTTGTAAGGTTTGAATTATTTCACTTAGGAAATTATTTTTATATTCAATATATGAGAGAGTCCCTTTATCAAAATACATTTTTTTCCTGAGTTATAAAGCTAAACAGTTGCTGATGATTAAATCACCAATAGACAATACTGGTGTTTCTCCCAGTTGCCTTTCGTCATAATTTTTACAAGAGAGAAGTTTCCCAAAGTCTAGACTCATGGACTTGCTTTAGAGTACTTTTGAGTATCATGGAAATTATAAAATACAAGTGGTGTCCACTACCTCCAGGAAACCTGAAGTGCAAGTGAAGAGAATATGTATACATAACAAAAAAATGGGAACAATTCATGCACAGCTCCCCAAAGACACACTTGAAACCAGTAAACATGGCAAATACACGACTCTGCTCCTCCTCCTACAGTGTGGCTGACAACCTCTAAGCGTCTAAACCACATGTTCCCTAAAACCTACTTGTCACACTTCTACCTCAAGCCTTGAGTATTCAAGAACAACAACAACATCATGGGGTCTTTCCTCTAATGTGCCACAAAATATTCAGACCAGATCATCTCCCCTTCCAAATCACACCTCATTACACACTGACTTGTGTTGCCTTCAACCATCTTGTTCCACTTCTTCATACCCGTTCCCCCTTTAAAGTTGGCCACCAAAGCTCCTTCAAGATTTGGGACTGCTGTGGGAGCAGTTGTAAACACCCCTGCTGCCCACTCCCACAGTAATGCCCACTGGGTGTTTCTTGGGCTGGATTGGATCCTCATGATTCTGTTACCCTGTTCCAAGAACATAGGTTTTACTACAGTTCAGAGGAAGGAAGGTTACTGACCACTCTGTAGCAGTTGTGGTCAGTTTCAAGGAAATAGTCATTAAAGAGGAGTGCACATGGTGGTTTTGCAGTGAGTGTAATAAATTTGTTACACTGCAACTCGAACTGTGTGTTCTAAGAACCCCATATCAATAATAAGACTGAAGCCAGCGCTGTGGCTCACTTGGCTAATCCTTCACCTGCAGCGCTGGCACCCTGGGTTCTAGTCCTGGTTGGGGCGCTGGATTCTTTTCCAGTTACTCCTCTTCCAGTCCAGCTCTCTGCTATGGCCAGGGAGTGCAGTGGAGGATGGCCCAGGCCCTTGGGCCCTGCACCCTCATGGGAGACCAGGAGGAAGCACCTGGCACCTGGCTCCTGATCAGTGCAGCGCACCAGCCTTGGGCCCTGCACCCTCATGGGAGACCAGGAGGAAGCACCTGGCACCTGGCTCCTGATCAGTGCAGCGTACCAGCCGTGGCAGCCATTTGGGGGGTGAACCAATGGAAGGAAGACCTTTCTCTCTGTCTCTCACTGTCTAACTCTGCCTGTCAAAAAAAATAATAAGACTGAGATGTGCCTTGAAACTGTAGAATACTGGTCATCAGGAACTGCAGATTTAAGGCATAGTGGTATAGGGTGCTTTGCTTTATTTTTGTTTTTAAATTATGATAAATATACATAGAGAGAAGTGTTCAAAAAACACATGCATATTTTGAGGAAAATTCTAAATCACTGTCAAGGCCTGAAACATAACACTGCTGGCTTCTCAAAGCCCCCCAAGTGTGCTCCTTCTAGATCAAACTATTCCCCCTACTCCCAGATAGTTCCTGATCCCTGTTTCCTAGGTTTTACTCTCTGAATCTATGTCCCTAACCAGGATATAAATGGGTTCACACTGCATGTTTCTTTTGTGTCTTCTTTTCAGCATATGTTTATGTAATTATTTTCACATTGTAGTATTACTGTGGACGGATATAACAGAATTAATATAACTATTTTCCTGTTACAAAATATTTTGGTGGTTTCCACGTTAGCCTTTGGTTTTGCTGTAGCGGGTGCTGATGCTGTGAACATTTTTGTGCAAGTGTCAGGATGATGAATCTCTAAGTTTCTCTAAGATACATATTTAGCAGGGTATTTATAGTTCTTAGGGTATGGAGGAGGACATTTTAAGAGAAAATGTGTATTATGAAGAAATCATGCATAAATTTTGCACCAAAATAATTTTTTAATTTCATTTTTTGGTGAGCTTTCTGAAATTCCCTTCGCCTTCAATCTATAATAACACATTGTTTTCCCAAGGGATTTTTATCAAGTATGATATTATTTTAAAGGTTCTTTACCATGTTGTCAGTGACATGCTAAAAGTTTAAGAAAGGAAAACTATTTAACTATAGTATTGGATTTTACTATAAAATGAATTTTAAATTAACATCTATAAAGAAAAAATGTAAGCCCATTCTTTTCTAGTCATTGTATTGAAATTCAGTGTGCTGAGGTAAATTCTATCCCATATGTATCAGTGAATGATTGTGGCTTGTGGGCAACTATTCATGTGGTTACATTTCTCCAAAATGCTTTTAGCAGTATTACAAAAAGAGCTATTTTTTTAAAAAATATGTAGAAATATTATAAATATACACAGTAAAATAAATATTTAAATCAGGCATATAGATATAAAATCAAAAATAAAGTTTCTGGCAATTCATCTTCCTGATGTTCTGCTTTAAATAACCTCTTCATTAAGTGTCTCTTGCTTCTTGCTGTTTTTTTTTTTTTTTTTTTTTTTTTGGACAGGCAGAGTTAGACAGTGAGAGAGAGAGAGAGAGAGAGAGAGAGAGAGAGAGAGAGAGAGAGAGAGAGAGGTTGATTCACCCTGCAAATGGCTGCTACGGCTGGCGAGCTGCACTGATCCGAAGCCAGGAGCCAGGTGCTTCCTCCTGGTCTCCCACGTGGGTGCAGGTCCTAAGGACCTGGGCCATCCTCCACTGCACTCCTGGGCCACAGCAGGGATCTGGACTGGAAGAGGAGCAACTGGGACTAGAACCTGGGGTCCCGGCGCTGCAGGCGGAGGATTAGCCCAGTGAGCTGTGGCGCCAGGCACTCTTGCTTCTTAAAAAATATAACTTCTACATATACATGAATGGGTCATGATTACACAGGGTATTTTTTGTTGCTTTTTTAACATTATGCGTAATTCTATCTTTTGAATGTTGAATTGATTAGCTATATTTACTTAATCAGGAAGACTGATGGACATTTAGGTAATGTTCAGGATTTGTTATTACCAATAACATCAATAAATACATTGGAATATAAAAAAATAAGATTGTTCCCTCCACCTAAAATACTCTGAGTGAGTAGGAAAGATCTTTGGTTTAAGGAGAGGGCCCACTGAGAGGAGGAAGAACAGCATTCTGGTACTGAGGTTCAGATATATGGACCAAAGAGCTAAATATAAAAATGTCTGTGGCTGGGTTCTTGTAGTGATCAGAATTATGTGTGAATATCAATCATTGAACCAGTATTATATTCCAGGTTCTGTGATA